CTATCACTACGATTACTACGCTCAGTATTCTGACGAGTACTCCTATACCTCTATAACTACTACTACTACTACTACTACTACCACTACTACTACTACTACTATTACTCATACGTATACTGCTTCTACTATTACTACTACGTGCTCTTCCAACGTTTATTTGCTACTACTACTACTACAATATCTAGTATAGCTACTGCTGCTGTTGCCACTACTACTACTACTACTACTACTACTACTACTACGACAGCTACTACTACTACTACGACTACGACTACTACTACTACTAATACTACTACTACTACGACTGCTACTACTACTACGACGACTACTACTACGACTATTTCTACTACTACTACTAATACTACTACTACTACTACTACTACTAATACGACCACCACCACCACTACTACTACTACTACTACTACTACTACTACTACTACTACTACTACTATTACTACTACAACTATCACTACTACGACGATCACGACTACACCTCTCTTAACTACTACTACTACTACTACTACTACTACTACTACTACTACTACTACTCCTACTACTACTACTACTACTACTACTACTGCAGCTGCTGCTGCTTCTACTACTACAACTGCGACGGCCCCCACTACTACAACTATTACTATTACTAAAACTACGGCTGCTACTACTACGACTACTACATCTACTACTATTACTACTACGAGTACTACTACTACGACGACGACTATTACAACTAGTAGTGTTACTACAACTGCCACTGCTATTATTAAGGTTATTACACGATTACGACTACCACGACTCCTTTTTTACTACTACTACTACTACTACTACTACTACTACTACTACTACTACTACGACTACGACTACGACTACCACTACTACGACCACTGCTACTACGACTATTGATTCTAAAACTACTGCGGCTACGACTACTACTACCACTACTACTACTACTACTACTACTACTACGACTACTACTACTACTACTACTACTACTACTACTACTACTACTACGCGCGTACTGCTATTACCATTACTGCGACTATTACCATCACGACTACGATTAATACCGCGACGACGACGATTATTACTACCATTACTACTACTACTACTGGCATTACAGGGCGACTACTACTATAACTATTACTATGACTACTACAACAACTATTCCTAGTACGTATACACTTCTACTACTACGACTTTTTCTTCCAATTTTGCATTGCCTTTGCTACTACTACGAATATAACTGTTATAACTACGGTAACGATTAGTAATTCTACTACTACTACTACTCCAGTAGCTGCTGCTGCTACTACTAGATCTACAGCTATTACGTTACTATTTTTATTACTACTACTACTACTACTACAGCGACGACTGCTACTACTACTACTACTACTACTACTACTACTACCCCTACGACTACGACTACTATAACTACTACTACTACTACTACTACTACTACTACTACTACTACTACTAATACGACTAGTATTACCAATATAACTACTACGACTTATAACTAATTTAATTATTATAGCAACTACTACTACCACTACTTCTACTACTACTACTTCTGCTACTACTACTTCTTCTAGTATTACTACTATTAGCACTACTAATACGACGACTAATACTACTGCTACTAGAACTACTACTACTACTACTACTACCACCACTACTATTATTACTAATACTACTACTGCTACTACTACTACTACGACTACGACTACGACTACGACTACCACTATAACTACTATTACTATAAC